CTGTAGAGGTTCCTTACAAGGATCTACAAGAGTTTTCGCGATTAGGGCCCGATCTAGTCCCCGAAATAGTACGGCACCGTTATGAAAGGGATCGCAAAAGGAACCCTACTTTAAAGAACTACGCATATACTTTCCCCAAAAAGGGTCCTAAGTACCTATATGGGGGATACTTACCCAAAAGATAATATAGTAATTCCTACTATAGAAATCCTACTTCCAACTATAACCCTAAACCCTACACCCTAAACCCTAAACCTACTTCCTACAATATTAGGTACTTAGGACCCTTTAAGTTTAGAAGGCCCCAACAACTCAAACCTTGAACTCTAACCCCAAAGCCCTAAACCCCAAACCACAATCCGCCCAATACTCGAAGCCTAGGGTTTAGGGTGTAGGCCCTAAGCCCTACTTCCGAAACCTTACACCCCAGCCCCAAACCCCCGCAGAACCTTAACGCAACCATTCGGGGAAATCGGAAAATTTACGTATTACAAGAAAGAAGTGTATTATAGGGGGCTGGGCGACTAGTACCAGTATCCCCCTATAGTCCTTTTCGTCTAACTACACTATAATGCACCCCAAAAAATAAAATCAGATAGTGGAAGCCATGCCCAGAATCTCCTAAGACCTCGAAGATAGGGTTTTGGAAGGGGTTCCATCGTTCTTGGGCTTCGTGGTATTCTTGTTTTGCAGACCCTTACGAATCAGAGATACCTTAAACTATAGATCGGTGCCGAAATTGTGTTAGTAACTTGCGGAGCTGGGCGATGCTAGGCCCTAGGCATACCTGCAGTTGTCTGCTGGGCCACGGGTATTATAGTCGCCGGCATAAGAAAAAGGCCAGGAAGTCGATATGGATGACATCCTCCGCGTTGGCGTGTCAAAAGCTTGACAACTTTGTGCAACGAACCTTACACCGTAAACCATATCAGCGCATATCACTCGACCGCCATGCCTTAGCACACCCTACCCGAAGGGTCCAAGTGCCCAAATAGTAGGGTTTCAGGGTCCAGAAACCATTCCGAGTATGGATTTTGGGACCTAAAACCCTGCTGTTTGGGTACTCGGACCCTCTGGGCTACTGCCTATCTTCCTTCGACAGGAAGAGCGAAAGAAGAAACAGGCAGCATACGAGGCTCAGAAGAAGGAAGAGCAGAGGCGCCTTAGGGTTTAGGGTTTAGGGTTTAGGGTTTTGAGGGTGTTTAGGGTTTCCAACGGGTTCAGGGCTACCTATAGGCTCCATTGTAGTTCCTTTTTTCGGTTTAACCTATTTTATATTAAGGATCTTAAAAGGCAACCCCAACAAGGAACTGCAATGGAGACTATAGGTGGGTTTTGGGATTTTGGGTTTTATGGTCCAGGGTTCAGGGTTGAAGGGTACTTGGAGGTTCATGGGTCGTTATAAGTAGGGTTATAAGTAGGGTATAACTATAGTTATAACCTATATTAGGGGACTTAGAACTCCACTTATAACTACCCATGAACCTCCATGTAGGAGCTGAAGGGAGCAGATTCGCAGGCTTTGGTGGTCGGCAGCAGGAGCCTAGAGACCCCGGTATCCGAAACTGGGGGGTACTTAGAAATATTTTTTTATCTTTGGCTACTATAAACCCTGAGAAGCAGCTAAAATTGTATTTTGTGCTAGGGGTCTAAGTTCAGTATCCGAAAAGGGGAAGGCCCAGGGTTTATAGAATTTATGGGAGTTTGGGTTTAGGGTTTATGCTAGGGTTTAAGGTTTAGGGCTTATAGATTTTATTGGGGGTTTGGGTTTAGGGTTTTGGGGGTTTATGGGGATTAGCGCATGATAACGATGGGTGTAAGAATGAGGGTGCGGAGTCAGGATTCTGGATGGGAGCATCTAGGCTTTAGTTCTAACCCCTAAACCCTAAACCCTAAACCTTAAACCCTAAACCCTAAACCCTAGTTCATGACGTGTAGCGATCCCATTTCGGAGACCCTAAGGGTCCATGTGCCCAAATAGTAGAACATTGGTCCTAGAGTACCTATATACCAAGGGTTTAGGGTTTAGGGTTTAGGGTTTAGGGTTTAGGGTTTAGGGTTTAGGGTCCTAAACTACCAAACCCAACTGTTTTGTAGGTTCTTGTTATAAAACCTAGTATGGAATTTATAGGTACCCTACAGAAAAGTAGGTTTCGGTAGGTTAAGAAAGAGTGTAGATTAAGGCCAAGGTGTATACTCTTTGGGCACATGGACCCTGAGGGAAAGCTTGTCCTGAAGCCCTAAACCCGAAAGCCCTAAGGCCCTAAACCCTAAAGCCCTAAACCCTAAAGCCCTAAACCCTAAAGCCCTAAGCTCTAAAGCCCTAAGCCCTAAAGCCCTAAACCCTAAGTAAAGCTTGAATGGCAATCGGGTCTGATTTGCTTAGGGTCTATCGCAGGACGGAGTCGCTAAACATTGGCTTCAGTATAGGGGCCTTTCACAATTGCCTGTACTATTTTTGGGTTCTTTATATTTAGGGGGCCTTAATAACTGCCTATACTATTTTGGGGGTTGCTTACATTAAATTTTAGTGAATTCTACCCCGAACCCCTATTCTAATTATTAACCCAGAGGCTCTTAGTGCTGTTATGGGCTTTCTAGGGGAAGGTTTGGGCTTGGGGGGCTGAGGTTTGGCTTTCATGATGGGGGTCCCTGAGCCTCAGGGAAAGGGCCCTACATTAGATTTAGGGTTTAGGGTTTAGGGTTCTGATGCTCGAGGTGGGCTTGAGTTTTGCTGCTCGCTGTGTGTAGTCCTGGGTTTGATGAGGCCATGCTGTTCTGGCAACGTGCCCTAAACCCTAAACCCTAAACCCAAACCCTGAATCCTAAACCCTAAGCCAAGCATCTGCAGACAGAATGGGCGCATGGTGAAGCCTTGGCGATCAGTTTCGATGAAACAGCTATTTGGGTAGTTCTCTAAATTTAGGCTCACTTTTAGGGTTCTTGCAGAAGGGTGCCGTTTTTTTGGGGGACCTAAAAAGGGATCCTTATTTAGAGAACTACGTCTTCGCTTTGGCCACTCGAGGTCCGAAGGTTTGATTGCAGCCACACGGCTCTTAAGGGAAGCTTGCCACACGAAGTCTAGGGTTTAAGGTTGAGGGTCTAAGGTTTAGAGTTTAGGGTTTAAGGTTTAGGCTTTAGGGTTTAAGGTTTAGGGTTCGGGGGTCAAGGTTTAAGATTTAAGGCTTAAGGTTCAGATTGGGCTTGTTTGGCATTGGCGGCAGTGATTTGCCATGACAACGCATTGCAATCGTGACTCCCTCAGTTTGTATTGTTAAACGGACGTTCTTTTCCAACAAGGACATCGAAGGATGTCAAACACTACCCGTGAGCTTGAAGGTGGACTATGAATTCGTCGCACTCGTCCCAAAGCGTGCTGATAGCCGCTAGCCATGCGAGATTACAAGTTCCGAAAGACTTGTTCCGCCAGGCTTAAACATCTTCGCTACCACCTTTATCTTCTGGCACCGGGCGCCTAAACCGAGTGTGTTTGTGGAGTTGTTCTCACGAGTGCAACGGATGTAAAAGCGGAGTCATGGACATCTGCTCTGTCGCAGCGCTTCCCCCACGCCGAACCTGACATATCCACATCCTTGTCCCTGCAGCAACGAATTTCGACATCTACTTCCAAAAGGACTCTTTTTGCATGAGGCCTCAAACCCTAGAGTCCCACTATAGAAACCTTAGAATGCTCTATCTGAGGCCTACTTGGAGGTTCATGGGTAGTTATAAGTGGAGTTACACGTCCCCTAATATAAGTTATAACTATAGTTTCCCTACTTATAACCCTACTCAAAACTACCCAAGAACCTCCAAGAACAACAAACCCTAACAAACCCCGAAAACCGCGGCGAAACTCTTCCAAGCCCCCGCTGTTGAATTCTTACAAACCCTAAAACCCTAAACCCTAAACCCTGAAACCCGAAACGCCCTAAACCCTAAACGCCCTAATAAATTAATAAACCCTACAAACCCTAAACCCTAAACCCTAAACCCTAAACCCTGAACCCTAAACGCCCCAAGCCCTAAACGTCCTTTGCCCTAAGCCCTTAAGTCCCAAACCTGAAAGAACCCTAAGTCCTAAAGCCATCTAAATCCATCCATGATATACAGATGTGTATATATATATATATATCTATATATGTTTATTTATTTGTTTATATAATATAAGTATATATATATATATATACATACCCTATAAGCCCTAAACCCTAAAACCCTAAAGCCTAAAACCCTAAACCGTAAACCCTAAACCCTAAAACCTTAAACCCTAAACCCTGAACCCTAAACCCCTACAAACCCTAAACCCTATAAACCCTAAACCCTAAAACCCTCAGCCCTAAACCCTAAAAGCCTAAAGCCCCAAACCCTAAACAGGCCCTAAAGCCCTAAACCCTCAGCCCTAACCCCAAAAGCCTAAACCCTGTAAGCCCTAACCCTTAAAACCCTAAAGCACTAAACCCTAGCCCCTTAAACCTTAAACACCTAAACCCTAAA